CTTTCCAAAAGGGAACTCGAGGTAAATTAGAAGCTCGAGTAACCGGGCTAATTATCGTATGAATCATGCAGGAATAAAAGTTACGAATCGGAAACACTTATTCGGTGACGTAATGTATACATTTAATTAAGGAGTTCCATACTGTGATTGAACCTATTAAGTACCAAGTAAAGTAAGACAAATTTGATGCACATTAGTACATTGTGTACCTAGGGCGCAAAATAGGGCATTCTAGCACTGGCACGAGTGTGAATTTCGCCCGAGCGAAGCGAGGGCGACAAATTCACACGAGTGACAGAATGCCCTTTGCGCCCGTGGTGCACATACTATTTTTTGACACGCCGGGCGAGAAATTCGACCATTGAAAATTGTATGTTCATCTTAAGGACGTTAGTCCCGCTCAGTTGGTCTCAACCATTTCAAGTGGTGCCACGTAGTGGTACACATATTAAATAGAAACAAATGGTTGAGAACCTTTGGCCCTCTAATACATCGCACAGCGTATACATACGCACTTACACAAGCTTACACAGAAGAGCCGTTGCCGCTATTGGCTACACTATCCCCTTCCTCGCCGTTCTCAAGAACGCGTTGTACAAAAATACCGTACTTCATCTCAATATTTCTACTAAACGAATCATCAAAATTTTCTGATTTTTTTTTTAATACAATTGTAATAAGTTAATTTAGCATGTGTCAGTTTTTTGAAAATATCTGTAGAACCGTTTTTCCTTAAATTGCTGAAATCCATCATTTTACCGGCCTTTTCTCGTTTTCACATGGTAAAGTTCCGAATTCGATAATTTATTGCTACTCTCCCAATCATCAGATCTCTCTAAGATTTTACACATATATTTGTGATGCTCTATTGAATACTCATGCAAAATTTCAAAACATTCTGTAGAAAATGGATTTTGGGACTAACGTCCTTAATGTGTCTATTAATGTATAAAACCTTGTAAGGGAGGTGAGAAAATGAGGTTTTCTCCGTGGAAATTGAGGGTGATTGAGCAAAACGAGCACGCCGCGGTGCGCACCATATTTAATCGTGCATCCGCGGTGACTGAGGTGAGCGTTTAATCAGTCAGAGTTTAAGTGGCTATTGTTCCAACGCGCTCGCTATCCGCTTGTCCCATCCGCATTAGTAATGCGCTAGACACCGATAGAAGAGGGACATGCGTGAAAGGTGACTCACACCGGGGGTTGTATTTTCGAAACCAATGAGAACGTACATGCTTGCAGCGAGTAGTGCTACCCAAACTGACATTGTCCTGTTTCCGCTTTCCACTCATGTAACTATATATACACACATATTTATGAAAAGTCATTCTCGTCCAAGCTTAGCTTAACACTGAATATGTCACAAACTTTTATGTAAAATAAATCATTTGTGATTGATTTACAAAATGAAGTCTTGATTTAGATATTTTACTCTTCAAAAATAGTGATGCATGATTAAGGTAACAAATGTAGTTCTTGCCTTCTCTTGAATGATTGACTCTTCTTCTGAAAAGAATAGAAAATATACTATAATGCTTTCTTTACATAAACTGCATTTTATAGATTTATGGTAGAATTCAATGTATACAAGATGTGAAGAATGCATGTAACGTAAAAAAGTACATATAATTCTCCAAAAGAGAATGGAAAATATAATATAATGCTTCTTTTACATAATAAATAAGCTGCACTTATCGAATTTATCGAGAACTTCAATGTGTACAAGATGTGAAGAATGCATATAAAGTAAAAAAAGTATGTAAAATTCTGCATAAAGGAATATAATATACCTAATGCTTTTCTTACATAATGCATAAATTGCATTTATCGAAAAATTGAATATGCATAGTAGATTTTAAAAAACGAAACGTATGAAAAGCTGCAATACGTATAGGGTGTCCCTAAAATCGTGGTATAACTATCGGCTCGTGATTCGACATGTAAAAATAAGTCAAAAAAGAAAGAATAACATTTTTTCATTTAACGCGTAATTTTTGGAAAAAAATGAGTTCAAATATCCATTAGGTATCTTTGTATTACCTGTAAGTTTTGAAGTATGAAACTTCTGTTTCTACCTTTGTGTTATTAAACATCGACAATATCGTATTTTGCTTCCGGTTATTGTTGCGATCTTATTACCATGACATCGATTACTACTTTCCTTTATTCTGTATGTAAATTGAATAGTTTCATAAATAAGAATAAGATTAGTACTTGTTAAGAATCACTTTATTAATGTAACAGATTTTCAAATTGTTGATCATGTTGCTGCGCATGCAGCTCTGCTCGTAAAACTAAATTATTGCGTATACCTTACAGGCAATACAAAGGTACCTGACGAATATTCGAACTCTTTTTCTTTCAAAAACTGAGCATTAAATGAAAAAATGTTATTCTTTCTTTTTTGACTTATTTTTACATCTAGAATTATCACCCGACCTGTTGTACCACGATTTTCGCGACACCCTGTATAGCAAAACAAATGAAGGTATTTCTGTTTAAAGTAAATTTTTCAAATTAATATAAATTTGTTGTGTTGTACAAAAATCTGCAGTCTTTTATTATCATTATTTGTATAATACTTGCAGTGGTGAACGTTAATGAAACGTGACGTTACTGCGTGCGATCTTTGTGAAGCGCGAAAGTATCGCTAACTAACCAACCGATATACGCGCAACGCTGAAGGGGTAAAAAGAAGCACGGCTATCGTGTGTCTCAAAGACAAAATCAACGCTGGAACCACATGCTCTCGATTCGTGTCCCCCACGATGAGGCTAATCTTTACGGTCATTATTGCGAAACCAGATATCCGAAGAGTGCTCTCGCCAGTGAATCTGACATATTGCTAAAATATTCTGCGTAAATCTCGATGGCATCCCTCAATGAGAACACATAGGATAAATCAATAAAATATCATTTGACATGAACAATTACTTATTGTACTGGTTAGAAGAAGCTTTATATGCATTTATTATAGGAAAGTGATCACTGAATGGATATATTTCAGTATATTATCAAACCACTCAGTTTTGTGAAATGGATAAATGAAAATGGAGATAGATCTATATTGTATCAGACATTATATGAAATATTGTATTCTATCGAAAAAGTTATTTAGTATTGCTATTTATTTACTTTCGTCTGTATCTTCTAGATGTATAATTTTCGTTTGATACTTTAGTAATGAGTAATCACCCCACCCCTCCTCCGTAATCTCCTCACCCCTTTACAGAAGAGTAAAGGAAATGTAACAAAATTTAAGATAGTAACGAAAGATAAACATATGAACTTAGAAATAAAACAAGAACTTAAAAATAATCTGAAAGCAAAAATAAAAATAATATTGTATAAAAATAATAAATTAGACTTAAATTTAAAATAAACAATAAGCTTAAACGTAGGGAAATAAATTGTTGTATGTGTTACATATACTTATGTAGAAAAAAAATTGTAATTTTCAGGTTCGCACTAGGCCATTGCGGGAGTTGCGATGCCAACGTATCACAATGCGGGTGGCGGGTACCCGAATGTGTCAGCGCCAGCGCGGCAAGCGAAGCTCGATGGCAATCAAAATCACCACACGATCCCCTCAAACGTAACGTCCCATCCCCTTATACAAAATAGCACGCAACACAACGTTCCTTCCAACTTGTCTGCAAGTAACATTCCGTCCCATCCAGTATCACCGACGATGACTACGCACCCGCCGAACGTCACCGCACCTAATATAACCAGTCACATGAACACCGGCTCGCTGCCGGTAATCCTCACCTCGAACGTCACGAATCTTAGCAATCCAGCCGCGCTATCGGTGAATCCGAGGCACGAGGTCAAACTCAACGCTATGCCGTACGTATCTCTTACCTAAACTCGCTATCAATTCATTACGTTCAAAAATTTATTTTTATATTATAGAATCGCTTGTAAATTGTTATTAAANATATAAAATTGTCTTAATATTAATTCAGTTCTAACGAAACAGATACATGAACGCAATCTGCTTTTTCTTAGTAGAAAACAATTTATATCCCTTATTTTCTACAAAAGTAAACTGATCATCGTACTATTGTCACGCGACTGAACATTTTACTGAATTGTCTGTTGCATGCAGAAATGACGAATAATGTTTTTAGATGGTTTCACGGGAAGATATCGAGGGAAACTGCTGAGCGGTTGTTGCGGCCGCGCGAGGACGGCCTGTTCCTAGTCCGGGAGTCGACCAATTTCCCGGGCGACTATACGCTGTGCGTTTGCTATCAGGGCCGTGTGCAACACTACAGAGTGAAATACAAAAACAACCAATTAACCATCGACGATGAGGAGTTCTTCGAGAACCTGGCGTTGCTGGTCGAGCACTATGAACAAGACGCGGACGGTTTGTGCACGCAGTTGACCAAGTCATTGCCTAAGCAGGGCAAACAGGACTTTTGTGTGGACCCGAAGGCGTTCGTCGAGGCTGGCTGGGTCATCCAGACCGACGAGCTAGAATTAAGGTACTTGGCTTTTCCAAACTACTAATAGATACAGTCAAAGTATAGAGAAGAAACTAATTAAATAATAACTCTTTTTATCTAATATGAAAATATAGATTTCATATATCACCGTTTTCTTCAAAGTATCAAGAAGGTATTAATTGTTTTCCACACACAATTGTAATAACCAAATTTAGATTGTAGAGAAGGGATTGATTAAAAATTAAACATATACATATTAATACTAAAATTATATTTTCTGCAAAATTTAAAGAGAATCTGTACTATTGTTAGTTTTGATCGCGCTACTTTAAAAAAGGTGTATCATTGTTATTTTTGTCTATTTTAAGGGAGTGCATCGGCAAGGGAGAGTTCGGTGATGTTCTATTGGGCGTTTATCGAGGCGAACGGGTCGCTGTGAAAATGCTGAAGGACAACAGCGAGGCGGCGCAAAGGTTTCTGGCCGAGGCGAGTCTGATGACTTCATTGATCCATGATAATTTGGTCAAACTGCTCGGCCTCGTTTTCAATAATCAACACATGTACCTGGTTACGGAGTATATGAGCAAAGGATCCCTGGTGGATTACCTAAGATCGAGGGGGAGACTACACGTGTCCAAGAGAGACCAGATCAACTTCGCGTAGTAAGTTTTTCTAATTTCTTAATTACATTCTATATAATTAAGGTATAAGTAGTTTTCAAAATCAAACATTTGTGCACGCAACTTCTGTTGTCCTGTAAAAATAATATGCATTTTACGTCTTATGCAGTGTTCTTGGAAGTATATGTATATCGGATTTATGTTGTCGTTAATGCGACACGTATGGCGCGTAGATTTCTACGAAACTCCATACTACGGTGTATAAAATATTAAAGTATGCTTCGCTCGCATTTTTTATACCTAGTCGTACGTGACGCGAGTTCTCCATGTTTGAATTTTTTCATACTGCGATAAATGAAACGCAATTATAAATAATTGTGTCGTAATCTCGAAATAAGTACTACCCTTTCTTAATTAAGTCAAATGCAGTTATATAAACAAATTTTTATAAGAAAATATAAAAGATGATACGGAAAAGTATATAAAACATCAAAATTATAATACATATCGTTTTTGAAGGACAAGATCTCAAATGAAATTGCATTTATTAAATTGAAACCGCGAAAGTCTTATTTGGTACAAAAAATCTGATGGAACATTTTTGGAAAATGCAGTCTGTTCAATTTCAGCGACACGTGCGCGGGTATGGCGTATTTGGAGTCGAGACACGTAGTGCACCGAGATCTAGCCGCGAGGAACGTACTCGTCGCGGAGGATAACTCGGCGAAGGTGTCGGATTTCGGTCTGGCGCGGGATGAAAATTTCTCTCTCGAAGGCGGGAAGCTGCCCATCAAATGGACTGCACCAGAGGCTTTAAAGCAGAATGTAAATATATCTCGCTGCGAAATGACAGCAATATTATTTCCCAAAAGTAAAACACGTGTTTCGAATTTTGCTTTCAGAAGTTTTCAAATAAGTCTGACATGTGGAGTTTCGGCATACTCTTATGGGAAATCTACTCCTTTGGACGTATACCGTACCCACGAATTGTAAGTAGAATGTTATACATAAATCGATCAAATAATAAAGTAAATTAAATAAAACAATAAGAATACTCGTATGTTATAACTAATTTTTTCTTTCATCTTATTATACTATGCGTTATGTGAATTTTGTGTGTTGATCGACGACGAAGATTTTCATTTGTAATTGTAATTTCGCGTAATTATTTCATTTGTAATTTCAGCCGTTAGCGGATGTCGTAAAATGCGTAGAGAAAGGCTACAAAATGGAGCCGCCAGACAGTTGTCCACACGAGGTTTACGATATCATGAGACAAGTACGTAACATAGTATTCAAATTGGTGTAAAAAGTTGATTGTACGTAATAAAGAGATTTTTATATTAGGCGTGGGACTTGCAACCGGAGAAGCGACCTACTTTCTACGACATAAAGCTGATGTTAGGTCAACTGAAAGCCGAGTACACCAAAGGCATGAATTAAAGGGAGAAGGAAGGGAGATATACTTATTATTGATAGAGTCTTCTGTAGAGAAGAGGAAACAAAGCGGAACTAGTGTTTTCGAGACTTTTTTTTAAATCGAAGGCAATTTACCGGAGAGAGAGGAGTAATTCTATTTGTACATTTTTATTGTACAAAAATAGTTGCTTGTATTTATTGTTACTTTCTTATCATCATTTTTTTAATTTCCTTTTTTCTATGAAAATTGTTTGCACATAAATGAATATACGTCAATCGTGCCTTTGGCCAAGTTGAAGGACAGGTTCAACTTGTACATCCGAAATTCAGGTAGTACTTGAAAGGGTAATTGAAATTTCGAAGGTTTTTTACTTAATTCTTTGTACGGTCACGTTTTAGTGAAGAGTAAAAATGGAAATCGTGTTTTCCGTGTAGACTCGTCGTTGCAGTGACTCGCGTAATACTTCCAAGTGTAAGAAGCGCCTTACATTGAACTGAATTTAAAGAGGACGAGAAAAACAAATACCTATTACCGCGTAACGATTTTGGATTGAAACTTACATAACGATACTCAAATTTTTCCACTTATGTGTAACGGTAGAAACTGAGATGAATTAGATTTTTACCGCGAACGGTTTGCCAGAGTGATCTTTGTATGGTATTAGAGTGGCAGCAATCATAGATTACAAGTACTTGTTAGTCGTGTAAGATTTCATTTTTTAATCAAAGATTCGTTATATAGGAAGTATTAATTTTGTAATTAAATTATTTCAACAATTAAAAGATACGATTATTTAAGTTGTCCCGCGAGATATATAACTATATATATTAGCGATGTAAATGTATTTGTAAATACTTTTGTACATATCCGATTGTCAGATAGGAAGAATAAGATAAAATGAAATATTCCAAGTACGAATTGATATTGGTTCAAGAGATCTAACGAGGATTGTCCATACTTTTTTGTTTTTAGTTATTAAGATTATTTTTATCCGAATTTCAGACGCAGTTGCATAGATAAACGATCGGATAATTATACGTTCGGAGTAATTATTAAATCGTAGACGTTCCGTATTCTACCTTCCTTCTGTAACATAGGAGTCATCAATTATTTAATAATTTCCCAATGGTTATAACGGACTAATGATATTTATTCGTAGTGCTTAGGAAGTTTCAAGCGAAATGGAATGAAAAGAAACTATTTAACAAATACTCGAGAGGTAAATTCGCAAAACAATGTTTCTCGTTACAACCAAATAGAATTTTAATACCAGCCCATTTTGCAATGTTTCACATAGTTTTTATTACAGTTATATACACTGCCGCTCAAAAATTTCGAATATCCTTCAATTTTTCCGATTCTCATGTTTAACACACCTTTTTATTATATATGAAATTTCAAATTAAGCCAATGAATAATCATGATTGTCAAAAATATCACGATTTATAAAGAGAATTTGTATAAAATCGACAGAAGTAAGTAATTTTCATGAAATCTGATAGAATGTATAGATCTTGAGAACTAAGGGATTTTTACTAAAATGAAATTCTGATGTTCTACAAAGTCATTTATTTACGAGTATTTACGTATATTACCTGTACGTACATATTATCCTATATATCGAATATTCATTTTCAATTTTGAGAAAGGTTTGAAATTCTTGAAATATTTGAGCGGCGGTAGTACTTGTTATCAGAGAATCAAAGCCAATGTACTCAGTTCCTCGCATTCTTTGATTAACTGCAATAGTATCTGCAAGAATAATCGTCACGACTGAGCCGAGTTTCGTACGTAATTTTGAACGACTGGATCAGATCTGTTTCGCGGACGCGTCTAGTTTGAAAGTAGTAGGTAGCCGCATAAGTATCTAACGTATTTATGAGTGTACCAGTCCGTTTATAACTTGATAGTATGTAATATAAACTGTATATGGCTCTAATCCAGTACCTAACGTTTTCTCCCGACTCGTCTTCGATCTGTGTTTCTCTTACGCGAAGACATCAACCATATCGAATGTCAGTTGCTCCTTGCTTCATTTATTTCTTGCGTAGAAACTTTTGTTAATATCTTTTTGAGCAGCGTACAGTGTGGTGTGACAAACGTTACTCGATGATTTTTCTTGTGTAATTAATCCGTGTACGATTTCCGACTTTGTTGTAGAGAACAAAGGCGTCAGTCTTCTATGAATGTGACCAGTGTGTTGGGTTCGTTTATTTTTTACTCAATTCAATTTGTTAGATTGTAAGAAATTTAATATATTATATATATTTACATATTGAATAATAAATTACAAGGTATTCATGAAGATGGATCGCTGACTGTCCAAAATCTATCGACTGTTCAATACAACTTTCTCTAAATCTAATCTAATCATTTCTTCAATTCATGAAGTGTTTCAACAGTTTTTGTATGAAATGAAATAAATTTTACGCTTAATTTTCCCATATTTGTTATAAAAATAATTATCTCTTCCATAAATTGAGTTTTTATTTTAATTACTCGATGGATTTTGGATAGATTAATTCGCGACGTCCGGGTGTATTTGAATAATTGACTGGCTTTGGCGTGGGTGGATGTGACAATAGGACATTAAGAATTTTCATTCTGGCCTCCAAGAGAAACAAAATCCGAGTTGTACTATTTCAAGGATGTTCAAACGTTCGATCTATACGTTGTTACTATATATTACGGATTCTAAAAATTCTCAGTAGGTAGATAACTATAGCATTAAAAAGTCTGTTCGATCTGTCGACTGAAAATAAACAACCGTTAAAAGATTAAATAAAGCGGAAGAAGGTATACTGCATTTGCTCACCGGTCTTAAATCATTTCCAATTACGAATATGTACGTCAAAGGCTGCGAATTTCTATGCAAAATAAAACTCATACCAATTTTAAAGATTAAATCTAGTAAAAGTTTAAATATTAATTTTACACTTTGAATTTTTACAGCTCCATGTATCTTTTGTTTCTTCGCGTATAAAATATTCAGGACATTAAAAGCTGACTGCACATCGCAGTGATAAAAAAATTTCTATATAAACACATTCCTTAATGTCATACATGTTTTATTCTGCATAAAAGTTTTCACTCTATTAATAGTTTTTTTTTAGAAACAGACATATGTATACGAACGTATCCGAGTGCTGTTTTTCATCGATTCGGTCGTCTAAAGACAATCGATTAGAGACCATCATTCATTTTCCAGAACAGGTTTCAATTTTTAATTGGCTCATAACAATGGAATTGTAAATGATTCTGGCTCTTATTCCTCTAATTAATCTCTAACGTTATATTTTACTGCCAAACACTAATAAAATCTTGATACCCGTTCAATTTCTACGTTTATTTTAAGAATAATTCATTAACCCTCTCTATTCATTTGAAACCATTCATTTATTTCCAGAAGAATTAACTCTGTTCATTTTCAATCGAGTCAGAAGTATAATTGTTATTTCCGTCCGTATCATACCTATTCATTAATTAGTTGTGATATTTCGGTTTCAGATATTTTTACAAACTCGCTGCTCGACGTTTCACTTAACGATTCATTTTCTATTTTTACAAACTCACCGCTATTGTTGCTCAACGTTTCCACCTCTTCCGGTATTTTAGGCAGCAATAAAAATTTCTTGCTCCTCTCTCGTTTTGTGGCTTGAGGCACTTTTGTTCTTTTCGATGTCTTAAATAGTGTGAATGGCTGTTCGTGTTTCGAATTTGCAGGATTTTTTAATTTGCTCCTTATCACTAGAAACCTGCGCCTCTGATACGGTCTCTTGAATCCAAGCTCGCGACTACTAACAGATTGCCCAACTAGAGAGTACTTATTCGTCTCTTTATCTACGATTATTGACGGTTTCAATTCGCGTATCTTGCTAACGGAAACGCGATTTCGTGAGGGAAGGTAAACCCAATCGTCCTTCGTGTTTCTTATTCTTTTATTTTTTATACTATCTCGCTGACTCGGAAGGGAGCTTCCGTTGCAATTCGACGACATTTTGTTCAATCGTAAACTCGGTACGTTACTCAGCAACGAGGTGAACGAAGCTATTTTATTTTCGATGGCGGAGTATATCGTGGAGACAATGCTATCCTCTACTTCTGAATCCCAACAGGAGCTACCCCTGTCACAAACTGTCTTCCAACCCGATTCAATCCCTCTTTGATGGAATACATTTTCTGAGATGGTCTTCGCTGTTTCTGTTCCCATCGTATTCAATTCCTTCAGCGGCGGGAAAGGGTTCGACCCATTTACTTTCTCGTCTGCAAATCATACCCATTTCACGTATTTGAATATATATATGTTTTGTAAGTTAATATTTAATTGAAATCATATAATAAATGATAAAATACAATCATGCAAAAAATCCTACAATAATTGTTTCATTCTGCATAAAAATCTACGATCAAATAATCAACTTACTTTCTCTTCGATGAAGCTTTGGAAACATTTTTTCTGACAGTGCAATCTTCTCTACGCTCGTCTCGGTAGCTACGGAGATCATTAACGGCCCGTACTGCTGATTAACGAATATCATAGAGGTATTTACTCTTTTTGAGAAAAAATTCATATCATTCGCTATGTTTGCTCTTTCAACATCCGAAGAATTAAAGCTTCTTTGATGTCCATCTTCCAGGATACAATCATGCAACTCATTAAGACTGGTCTCCCGAAAATCGCCGAACCGTTGCGTGTATTCAATGTGGTTCATCAGGGAAACGATCTGCACATTTCCATCTTCTTTTTTTTTCTGCAATTCGCCATCTGATTTAAGATTCGTTTCCTTTTTATCAATTGGATTCCTGGGAAGTTTGATAGTGCTCAGCAAGGGATCCGGGGTCCACGTTATCCCGCTTGGTCCTACTACCCTCGGTTGAAGAGTTATTGGGATATCTTTAACCGCTGGTTTATCACCCAATGTAGTTACAACCTGTTTATACAAACCCCGAATACCTGACAAATCAAGCCTGTCTTTCAGATCTATTTCTCCCGTTTTGTTCGTTTCGATAGCTGTTATAGCTTCCATTAATTTTTTCTTTGATACTACATATCTTTCTGGTTTCCCAATTTCTTCGACAGATACTCGCGGTTCTTCTTTTTCTGGAAAAATTCCTATTTTTGTCTCTTTTGCCGTGTCAACAAGTACCTTTTCATTTAAATCTAAATCCTTTATAGCCTTTACTAATTCTTTCTTTGATATAATATGCGGTTGTGTCTCCTCTGTTTTCGGCTCCCCGATTTCTTTGACAGCTGCTTCCAGTTGTTTTCTTGTTAAGATCGTTTCTGGTTCTATTCTTGGCTTCATTGATTTGGCAGTAGGATGTACTTCTTTTCTTTTCTCCCAAGTCTTTACGGCTTCAGCTACTTTCCACTTTGGTCTTACATACGATTCCTTCCTTGGTTCCGATTTCGTATCTTCTTCCCTGACTGCTGTGGTTTCGAATCTAGGTATAATAACCTGTCCTGTCTTCTTTTGTTTGGCTATTTTCGATTCAACTTTGATTTCCATTTCTGGTTGTGCTCGCAGCTGCATCTTCGGCACTTCTGGTTCTATGTATGCTCTCGTAACAAAAATTGGTGATTTTTCTCGCACTGGTGTAGCTTCTACTCTTGATGGGATGTATAATTCTGCTTTCTTTACTGTGGGCTTTAATTGTATGGTCGCACTTGTGATGAACTTTGATTCCTTAGTTTCTTCTGGTTCTTTTATTGGAACAGTTTCCATTTCTTCTCTTGTAACAAAAACTGGAGACTCTTCTCCCACTGGTGTAGCTTCTACTCTTGGTGGGATGTATAATTCTGCTTTCTTTACTGTGGGCTTTAATTGTATGACCGCTTCTGTGACAAACTTTGGTTTCTTACTTTCTTCTGGTTCTTCTTTTATTGGAACGGTTTCCACTTCTCTTTCTGTTTTTAGTTCTTCTGATACATCTACACTTTTAATATCTTTATCAGGTAATTTTGGTTTCGTTCTCAATTGCCAAGTCTTTGCAGCATGTGCTACTTTCCATGCCGGTATTGGTTTTACCTTTTCTTGTATCGATTCTGCTTTGATTGCTTCTTCTGGTTCTTCTTTTACTGAGACAGTTTCCACCCTTGGTACTTCTACCGTTTCCATTTTTGGTTCCTCTAGTATGTCTACACTTGTTTTAATATCTTTATCTGTTAATTTAAGTTTCTTTTTCAATTGCCAAGTTTTTAGAGCGTTCGTTACTTTCCATGGCGGTGTTCGCTTCATCTTTTCTTCTATTGGTTCCTCTTTAATAGCTTCTTTTAGTTCCTCCTTTACTGAAATACCCGTTGCAAATTCTTCTTTCGGTTCTTCCTTGACGATTGTATGGTCAGGAATTTCCTTCTCTTCTTTAATCTTGCGTTTTACTTCGATATCTTCGTGCTCTAAAATAATTTCATTAATTTCGGGTTCCTTTTTAATTTCTACTTTTTCCTGATCAATATCCTCCTCTTCATCGTCCGAAATTGTAATAACTAAGATCTCTTTCCTAGGTTTTTCCTCCATTCCTTCTTTTCTAATATCAACCTCTCCTTCGTCTTCATCATCCGAAATTACTATTATTTCAATTTCTTTTTTAGGTTCTTTTTCAACTTCCTTTTCTATCTCCTCGTCATCCGAGATTGTAATGATGCCAAATTGCTTGCTATCAGCCTTTCTTCTAATAGGCAATAATTCAACATCGTTTTCGTCATCATCTTCTTCAAGAACTTTAGTTTCTGTTTCTAATATTGGTTCTGATAACATACGTTCCACATGTTCTCTCATTTCCTTTATTTCTTCCACTTCTTTAGGATCTTCCTCGATTCTCGTAACGTTCGGTGCTAGCATCAACAATGGCACATCTTTCAACCTACAATTAACACTGGTCAAAGTCACGAGCCCTTTTCGGTCAATCTTTAATCGAAGTTTTTTTTTAGCTCCATCAAAACTGTCATCTGAGGAGCTCTCTTCACAGCTGCACGTGTCCACGCTCGTTTTTGGTTCGACAGCCTTGTCCATACAGTCCACAGTGCATTCACCGGTCCCAGTATCCTTACACGATGAAGTTCCAATTTCAGACGTCGCTTTGTATCCTTCCTTCTGATCCCGAGGCTTCAGATATAGCCTCCTAGGATTGCGAATGCTTGGCGTGAACGGATCTGGCGATTCCATCGACCTTTGCACGTAGGGTTCGAACAATGGCGCTTGCGTGAAACCGTAAGTGCACCTGGACTCAGAGAACTGTTGAATGACTCTGGAGGTGAGTGTTGGAGTTGGTACCGCGCAACCTCTTCTTCTGTCGAACTCTCCCTCGATCTGCTGGATCTTCGCCTGGACATTGTTCAATCGGGCCTCGGCGATCACTTTTTGCGAATGATAAGGCGAGAAGTTCACGTTTACTCTCTCGTCGCATTCTTTCTGCCGCAAAACGGATAACAAGTCTCGTAATTCTGCGTTCGTTTTCATTGTTAGGATGGTGGGGTCAATGGGACCACTAGTTTCCACCTGGAATTTGAAGGCAAGAAATATAAAACATATATAGGGATTTTATTATAATATTCTACATTATTTGCCAGTATGATGATTGAAACACTGATTTTGTAAAATCAATTTATTCCTGTAGTACAACCGCACTTTATATTTGAAAGTATAGGTGTGCGGCAAACTGAAAATATCAGGTCGGATCGGGTTAGGTATTTACCTTGGGACTGGGACAGGTTCCCGGAATTTTAGAATTTTCGAAAATGTTACTCAAGAATCTTCATGATTGTAAAATTCCCAAAGCTACTCGGGATTCTCAAAAATATAATGTGATTTTTAGGAATGTGTAGATACCCGAATCTCGGGTCGGGTCGAACAGCGCACAGAGCACATTTTATTCGGGTACCCGTAATTAGGGGATATCAACTCGTGCTCGAAACTTACTTCAGGAGTCATCATTGCATTCCCACCATAATTTTTCAAATAGACCTTAGACCTTTAAGTTTGAAAGTGTTTTTATATAATATGGTGTACAATTGTCATCGAATGCAATGACGGCTACCGAATTTAGTTTTAAGTTTCAAGTCGAGAGATTGGGTCCCGAGTCAATATTCGGACTCCGAAATTATAGGTACCTGAACAAAGAGTGCTCGATCCGGGATCCCGCACAAACCAGACAGGAGAGTCGAGTCAGATCCGAATTTTTGAGCACCCGCACGCATTTTTGAAAACGCGTAGAATATCAAAAATCTCAGATCACGATTGATTTTGTAAAATCTTATAACAGTAATCGAATTCCTGACATTTTTAGAAGTCCCGAATATTTTTGGATGGGACATTTTCGGGAATCTCGATATAATCGAGAAACCCGAACATATTCTAGAATCCCGAATAATCTCAAGAATCTCGATATGAACGAGAATTCCGAAATTTTCGAGAACCCGACCCATCCTGATCATGGGGTTCTCGACATTTTTACGTTCTCTTACACTTCTACGGTCGAAGACATTGTTATAAAAATGGAAAATTTGATATACATGAAAATTAGACGATATACATATAAATAGCGTGATCGTACACTTTTGATGAAACAAAATCTTACCTCACATCCATAACTGGCCTGACACTCCATCACCTTCTTGTTGATCAAGTTCTCAACCTGCGCCTTAAGTACATTCACTTTCAATTGCAACAATGTCAGAAGAGGAATGATGTTCGACGGTAAGTTGGTAGTCATATGAAGATTGATCAACGCGTTCACCTGCTGCGCGTTCCTCGACTCGGCCAGCAGTTGATTCTTAGTAAGCGTGTCGATAGATTTCAGCGCTTTGTCCATCGTATCCTCCATAGTGCAAGTTATGTTGGACCCAGGTATCTTCCTCAAGATCAGACGCGTAGCGGCGCAAGATATGATTCCTGGCAGCGATAGAAGCTGCGATGCTAACGCTTGCAAGCTTATAGCAGCTGGACAGTTTTTTCTTGAGCAAATAGTATCATCGCTAGTCACCGTGCAACGATGCTCCTCGCGCTCTTGTAGATTACAACAGCACAGATGAACTCTGCCATCGAAATCTTGACTCCTGCGACAGCAAGAGCAACCAGGTCCGTCCTTGACACGATTTTGTGCACCGAACGAATCGAATACAGGCATAGGAATTGGATAGGGGTAGAACGAGGGTGGACAGTACACTGTTGACTGTCCCGTCTGTTGGCCTTGATTCGACTGGCTTTGTTGATGACTTGTGGGCTGATGACACGAACCTCCTGGCAGGATAAATATAGGAGTTGTGTTGCCGACACAGCTGCGAATCTGGTCGAGGACATTCTGAGGCAGAGAACCGGAACTTGGATGTGTTTGCATGCCTGGAACGCTGCCTGGATGGTAGACCGGTGGCCATGGTGGTAGAGGTATGTTTGGTTGATACTGACTCGTCATGAATACGTCCGCTTGATGGGATTTGAAGTACGGCTTGAAAGGATCTGCGTTAATGATTTATTGATCAACGAAATATGCAAATTATCTGAACCTAAAATTGTTATTTAAAAACAATGCAATAGAACCTTATTTATCTGAACTGATTCATGGTCAGCACAGAACATACAGGTGAGCTTCTATTAAACCATGATCGAACGTACTTTTAGCTATACCAATGTGTTTACTTATATTTGTATTAAAAATAATTCGAATGTTAGTGTCACCGAACTGAAGAACAGCGGCATGAGGATAGTAGGTGAGCTTCCGCGACCGAGTAGCTCGAGCATTTATCGAGTTATCGCCCGGAATCGCCCGGTCTTTTGCCAGCTCGACTCGAGGACCAAGCTACTCAGTTTTTCGGGTACTCGCACATCTCTAATTGTTTGTAATTGATAAAAGTATTTAACAATTGAAAATGCTATATATCATTTTGATATGAATTACATTACACATAGCGTTTATATTAGTTTCATACACAATAATATACAAAACTAGTAGTTGCTTATCAATAAAATTGTTAAACATCAGTATATTATTGTATTTATTATGATACTTTACAGTGTTTATGATCAGAAACAATCCTAGCCTACGATTTTTCCAAATTATGTACGGAGTGACCTGCGATCTATAGGATCGGCAAGAAAAAACGTACTAGCAATTATTCGAAATCGAACAGAGAGTGGCTGATCCGTACTTTTTGTGCGCACTTTGACAAGATATCATTGGTGCCTTTCGAGGCTCCCATGCTTTTACATGTTTTTCCTTATGCCTTAAACTTTCCAGTACCGCATAGTATCTTACAGCGGAGATGTCCTTCGAGTCCAGAATTTTGCTGGTTGGTACGTAAAATTTTTCGTGAACAGATCAGAAATCGATCTCGAATTGGTATTGAATCTGCAGGCAGATTTCCTGCTGGGTAGTTTCAAGTATCTGCTTCGAATGTTTCAAATTCTCCATTGTCTTTCGAATCTTTACTAACAATAAGATTTTGCATATCATTCTGCCGAGGCTAATATGGCCTAGATAATCGCATATTAATAAAAAATGGTAATAAGGACAAATTCTTAATTATTTTAATGCATATTATAATATACATATAGTTTGCATTCTTTTTTATTATAATTAAATATTTATTATAATTAAATAATTCTAATAGGAAGTAGAAATACTTCACGAATCGTCTACTATCGGCTTCGTTGGATTTCGGTCGGATAGGCATCGGATGAACTGAATAAACGTAAATAGCAGGGTGTCTGCCTGGTGTTTCGGCACTGATTCGAGGTCGCTTCCGACATGGGGCTCTGAAGACTTTCACTTCTATACGTTTTTGCTTATAGTATATATACATATAATTTACACCTACAATAAACACTTTTGTTGCCTTCGGACGCCTCAGCGATATACGGAGCCGGTGGATCCTGCACCATAAGAACGGTATCGTCTCCGGGACTATTTGGACAGATTAGGTCCTACCTAACATCTATTCTAAGAAGTCGTTTATACAAAGAGTTTCTGGCTTGCCCCACTAAACAAAAAAAGTCGAGCTAGATACTTGGTATACGATAACTGATCGTGTAAATACTTTCGAGTCAACACTGTAATTTGAAGAAATTCGACTAACAAACGACAAATTTTATTGAACGTAATTCTGTCCAAATAGAATCCGACTAGAAGTTTGGACACGCTTCGCACGCAATACGAGCAAAGCATGTTTTGGCGAGATTTCGTTCGTATTGCCTCGGCGGTTTGGCGGAAAATGGGTCATGAAATTCAGACAATTTCTATATGCCCAGTTCGGTTTTGGTTACCTTGAATGATACGAAATGCGGTCGAATCATCAATGAGAATCTTTGTTAGTTTCTCAAAGCGATTTACCGAATTCGATATGTACATTTGATAGTGATTTGCGGAGGATACGATCTTTGTCGAAACCGTAGCATTTGGTAATCGAGTCGATTACGGTTACGCAAACTGTTAGCACTTTCAGTACTAAATGTATTCTGTCAGAGTTTCCTACCAGAAGTTAACGTGTTTGCTTCAATAAAATAAAGAACATTTTCTTTGTGTCATGTGAATGTAAAAACGATGAAAAGGGTAATGGTATATGTATTTATAACCACAATTAGGTTTACAATGCTGTTTCAAGTATTATTATAATAAAAGGTAAACATTTTTTCAAATCAAGTGTATTTATTTATTTATTTATTTATTTATTTCTACATGGGTTTGTAAGAATCCATTAGTATACAGGAACAAAATAATGTAAAAACTAAAAACAAAACTGAGGTAACGTATAAAAATGAAACGTAATAATAAATAATAATAGCTAAGGTTGGTATTATGCTAATTGTAGGTAAAGTAGATGATCCAGAGTAGTTTGTTTGAAGAGAATGATAATAATTTTGGTATCCGACATAGATTTGGAGAAAATATCTGCTTTATGGAATATTCACAATACGATCTCCGTCCGTATTCTCGTGTAGACTTTTTATAGAATTCTATAAGTTCCGAGATTTTCAGCAGCTAAAACGAGAGCAATCCAGTACCGTACCTGAGCCGTACTGAATTGCCCGCGTTTTAGCTGTTAAAAAACTCAGAAATCATAGGGTGAATACTTCATTGGAGTGTTCAAAATTGGCATGAATGATCATCCGAATGATCGCATTGCAAAAACCGTAAAAGGTATGGTGATTTTGAACAAAATATAATTCGTATTTTCTCAAGATTTTATAAAGAAACATTAATTTTTAATCTAATAATGAAATCAGGACAAAGTATAAGACCATTGATAATCTTAGAGATCGAACGATTGAAAGAAATGTGTTTGCATTCAGTGATATTGAGGAATAATCTACATATTTTGTGATAAGAGTCATCTTGAAGTCTGTTCGAGTGATGTTGAATACGATAATAATCGGTAGTAGATAGTTGAAAGAAATATTCATTACATTTAAAAAGGTATTGTGCACAATAATTTTATGTCTGTGCTTTATGTGAATGAAATTATCGTCTCTCATTTTGATGAGACTATACTAAAAATTCTAAATCTACATATTGGGAATAAAAGTTTGTAGCGTTTTCCAATAGCTGATATAAATTGCCATAAATGATGGCAAATTCTGGCATAAAATAATTCTGAATCCATCTCGTAAGAGATCAGAACGATATGATAAATATTTTAATGAATAAATATTAATGTTACTTTAAATTGCAATTAAAAAACGCTATTTCTATCTTCGTTGAATAGTAGTACATGCGAGTACCTTGTGGATTTATCGGATAAACAACGGAAGGGCCGGTTTGTATTTGTTGCGGGACAGTTTGGGGTTGTTGAAACGTCGGGAACTGATTGTAGCTCGTCTGCACGGGTACATTTTGGCCTACATTTGACATGTTCTGCGGGAGTACGGCGTAAGGTGCATTAATCATCGAAGAAATTGGTTAGATTACTCGTGGTTTGTTCAATTCAGCTTTTAACCAAGTCGGTGAGTAAGATGAGCGATTATTTAGTTTTTGGGAGGCGAGACGGTTTGATTTCGGGTGTGGGTGTGGGGGTGGGTTTCGCGGCTATCACGTCACATGGAATTTTGAATTACGGTAACCCGGGAAGGATTGTTGGATTTGGGATTGGTTTACAGCCGCCGGTTCCGGCTGTTGGTGAATTCCGCTTTGACGGAATCTGAAGTTTGCTGCGTCACGGCGAAATAATTGTTCGCCCGCGTTCACGAAACTGTTTGCGTTCATCGTTTTGCTGGTAACATCGAATAACCCACTGTACATATATACGAGCGAAATCCGAAAGGGGACACTTTAATTATTCGCGATACAAAATGTGATTATTTGGTAAAATGAAAAAAAAAATGTAAAATTTCACGTGCGCTCCAATTTTTAGAGAGCTGCATATGTAAATATGCAAATATCCAGGTTGCACATGCACTAATTGAATCTTCCGCGTATTTTAAATAAAAAAATGTGAACTTTCTAAATTCTCTGGCATTTTTTTATTTAAACTGAACTGAAATCAAATAGTTAAATAAGACTTAAGATAAAAACTATTAGTGGGCAATGTTATTTTCAATTGTGCATTAATTCAACAACATAACTTTCGAGAAACTTTATTAAGAAGCAAAATTATCTAACACTCCAATAAATACAATGAAATATCAGCAATAAATGATACAATGAAAAATCAACAATAGTCAGTTCGATTATCGAAATTCGTAGGAGCTTTACAATTTAATAATTTCATCTGATATTAAAATGAGCTCGAGTGCAAGAAGGAGAAGCTCTACGTAATCGCGTTAAAATTAAAATCACTCGGAGGAGCTTTTACGTAGCGTCGTTAAACTGCAAGTCTCCGTGAAATTCAACGAGTCGCTCTCCGTTGAAGATTTCGTTATTATTATAATTGCCGTGATTCCGGATCTCATTATCTAATTACTCATATCTGCTCGTGCGACTTGCCGACATCGATTCCAATTCCATTTAAATTAATTAAACGACCAATTTCGATAAATTCAAGCTTTAGATATTATGATAGTGAAAACACGATTTTAACAAAATGGAAAAATGAGTTGTCATGTACATTTCATTTTTAATTAATTTCAGAAAATACAGTAAGCGTATGAATGACCGAACCGGAATTCGTAATAATTAGATTGCATTTATAAAAAGATCGAGTATACAGTAAATATAAATTATGCATGTTACAGGAAGCATACATTAAATGTACGAAACCCAGATGTGGGAAACGTATTCTACTATTGCAATTTTTGTACAAACTGTACTTCTAATATCACACTTATTTATTCCATTCTCTTCTTTTCTAAGAGGCATATCAATCTTCCGTTCACAAAGAAAATATTCCGATTGAGACACCACAGCTGCGAACAATTACATCTCTATGTGTATAAATGTATGCGTAATAATAGACTCATATAACTTTCAAGAGTTTGAGAAATTTCACTCGTTCTAGATAATATCGATTTTTCGTGGAAACATACGATGGAAAGAAGAGGGAATGTTTAGCTTGTTCGGTGGTCCAATCAGGCAACGTCACCGCGGCGTCTAGGTTGTTGAGCAAGCTGCTTGTCGGCGAAACTATTTCCACCGTCACTATTTTCCTGAGGAACTTCAAAACAGCGAGCACCGTAAAAATAGTCGACCGCGCAGGAAACAGTTGGCCGCCGTCCGTGAAATGTTTTTCGTGTTGCCTGCGGACGATGCCCGCACTAAGTATATAGGACCGAATGGACGGATAAATATATTGTAAACAAGAGGGAGAAAGAGAGTTCCCATCGTTAAAAGACAATGGGCTCCGGAACGATTCCAAATGGAAATAAATTTACCAGAGTAAGAGATCTAATAAAAGAAAGGAGGGTTAATCCGATTCCAGCGAAAATGAGTTATAGAAAGGAGGACGAACTAGAATCGCGTTAGGTATTCACTACTGACAGTAGCATCGATCTTTCCAAATTTGTCTCTATACTCCACTGACCTGTCTTTTAAAGTTTAATAGGAAGACGAAGTATAAAACTTTTAAATAGTTATTCTGTTTAAAACATGAATCGTGGAATTTTTATCAAACATGTTAAGATAAAATAATTTGTTTTCATAGAACTCTTACTACAATAAATATTAGAATTTGTTTTATAAGAATATTATAATAAGAAAATTTCCTAAATGAAGCGTATAAGTATTGGATCAGCGATCGACGGTAGCAAAGGTAATGCCATTTGAAACAAGTCGAAGGTGTTGAAGACCGCACTTCAGGAATGAGGCTTCGCGTCGCAGTATTTTTATTTATATTAGAGTTTATTTTCTTTGGACTTACATATGTAGAACTAAGACTCATAAAAGTTATATTTCTTGCACATGCAATTGCGTGGTTTACTACCACGTCGATCTATAATTCTCATCAATAAGTTCGAAAAGGTTGTATATGGACACAGAAGATTTTTATTGTGTATTTTAATATGTATTCGGTCTATATTGATCTCTGGAACGTTGACGCTGATAGAGAACTATATTGATACTTATCGTTCCAAGTTTGGAATGTTGTGCGACGAACTTGCTGTAACGATGTGCAAGAGATAGTGGAACGCGGTTCCTTAAATCGTAATCGACCGGTAGCAAACATTTGATTCACTTCATGGAATTATGGAAACGTTAAAGCCGTAAGCCGCACAAGGGAGTCGTTAACTATGCTCATAATCCAGAAGTTTCAGACTCCATTCCAGTCGGCCGCTAACGATTACCTTAATTCTAGATAACGTAAAATATAGACGTTATCTCTTGTCATTCGTCCCGCGTAACGCAAAATGGCAAACCAACGTCGACGGAAACCACATCGTCTTATCTTCCTTGTCCAAGTTGCAATCATCCAGATCGAAGATTCACCTCGCGTAACGCAATGCACGCGGAATAAGAAATTTTAACTTCACCTTGCAGGATTTTTGTTCTATCAGATATATTATATTTACCAATTAAATCTTTAAATGTGTTTTTCTTTGTCTTGAATCGCAGGTACAATTTCTCTATTTCCTTAACAGATAGTTCTATGAATTACATATTTATATTGAATGAACAGTTTTAGTGTAGGTATATATTCTTACAAATCAAATGTGCTCGCAAGGCATTTTTAATAGTACCAATAAATATTTCCTATCGTCACATGAAAATTTTTATTTATTCTGTTGAAAGATAACATTACCAGTGCCTCGTGAACACCCACTAGATTGAGCTTATGAATGAAATTAGCCGACATAGGAAATCAGACGATCGACGCAAGTCGACGGCCTCAAATCAAAATCTCTCGTGTCACCCAACCTGCACACACTTCTTGACATCGAAACCATCAAAATCTTGTGAAAACGTGGTCCATGACTATGGCGAGCTGCGAGTGCAACGGCACCTCCAAATCCCACAAATGTTACATTAAAGCCAAGGAGTTTCTACCCTCGTGCAAACCGATTTTAAAGGCAACGGTGAAGCCCAGATGCGGTCCACGCCGCATGATAATCTCTACGATCGTTCTGATCCTGATTCTGGCTCTCGCCTATTTCCTGTCCACCTCGACCGAACGTTTTCGGGCGTTAAGCAGATCGCTGAGGAGTCTACCTCAGGTGCAACCGCAAACGATTGAGGCACCGGAGACGGAGACTCCACCACCGCCATCACCACCGCCCGAAGAAGAGGTTGAGGCGGCTGCGTAGTATCAGGAGACGCGAGACCTTTAATTGAGTTTCGTTAATACGTACCGATATTATGTCGCTGGATAATATAACTTAAAGCTTGGAGAGCTTGCGAGAGGTAAAAAACTTTTAGCGAATGAAGTAGTTATTGATAAGTAGATTGCGGATTTTATGGATTTATAAAGTACTATAATATTATATATTTAAGACAGAATTTCACAAGGATAGTCAAAGGTTTTTTGTCATAAAAGCTTGAATGTAAGCCTGAAATAGTAGATGAAACTGAAAGCAAGAGGCGATTGAACGTATCTGAATCCATTAAAAGTCCGTTTGGGTTGATAATCATTGATTACTTTCTAGTACTAGATAGAATTCTCGAAGAATCGGACAGTTTGTCTATCATAAAGTCTAAAACAGTAAACTGAAACAGAAGATACGAGTAAGTGGAACATGCGATCGAATAAAACTTTTCAGATGAAGATTAATTAAAAATGTAAGTTAAAATGATGATTGATACCTTCGTGATACTGTGTTTGATGTAGAAAGATTGTAAAAGGTTGTTATCTATTCCAAAACCTGAACTTAAGCTTGAAACAGTAGTCGAAACGGAAAGTACGAGGAAGCAGAGTCTGATCCCAGATAACAAATGCAGTGCGAGCACGCGGTATAGTTTGTATACATAAATCCTTGTCCACGAAACGGAGAACTGAAGATCAAAGTACATTTTTCATTCGCAACATTATTCGGAGCGAAGGTAACGTTGCGTTTCACGGAACAATGCCGATAGAGTTCCGTCGTAGCAACAGCTGCGGGCAAATGGACTGCGTATCCACACACAGAGTGAAGAGGCACGCGTTCCTGTGATCTACATTTTTATGCCGCGTCGATAAAAAAAATGGGGAGTCAAAGAACCGTTTGACGCGTCCCGAAATAGGATTCAATGGGATCGAAAGCATTCGTTGCGTTATCAAAGCCATTGCAGATGCCATAGTGGAGATCTCGATTCACGTACCTATTCGAATATGTAGTTGGTTGTGAAAATTCAATAGACGTAGAGGAAACATGTGTATGTATATAGAAAACACAGTCTTTTTTATCTTTATTCAATTCATACATTATGAGATCAGCAATTGACAATGTTGTAATGACTTAACAAATGATTTATTCAGAAGTTATTATATTGGTCGAAGATGTTGAAACCTGTGCGTTTTTCGATGTTAATAATGAATTTTCCTAATGCATACAATATAGTCGGCTGTGAAAATTCGAAAATGCGCTAACGTCAAACAAAACGTAGTTCTTTTTTTGTATTATACTCAGTTCATTTTCATATACTATATTATGAGATGAATACAATTAAAAGTTTTATGAATTCATTTCAGAAGTTATCGTTATTTAGACAGGTCTTAACGAAAGACAAGCTAAGTATGTGCACTTATCAATGTCAATAATGCATATCGCTGCTGTCGCGTATAATTTACTTCAAATAACAAGTACGAGAAGGTAGCAATTTTTATTACTGTTATCTCCAGTAATCCAATTAACTGTTTCGTCGCGCAAAGATAACAAAAATGACTGATACTTAAGATAAAATAAATTGTCTAATTGAATTTGGAATAAATTTAGACTGCGGACTCCTTCATTTAACCATTGCAATAATATTGCTTATGTTTTTATGTAGTGAATGCAGTCTTCATATTTCCTACAAGTTTATTGGACATTATTAAAATGAAACATTTACATTTAGTCAGTTAAAAAAATGTATTTCTTTTATTATTGATCTTTTGACATGCATACAGTGTTCTCCGCAGATCCAATCTTTCTATAAAATCCGCAGTTTACAAATGTTCTAACAGTAACAAAACTCGAATAAGTTCCTCGTCGCTGATGTGATCGAGGAAAGAAAGTACGATACAGGCGAAGAGGAATTTATCCTCGATATCCTGTCTCAAACAGTCGCGTTCGATTTCCGGGTATTCAGCGGCGACCGTGTCAATGTACAGGGCCAAAATTTCGTGCACCTTTGACGAGGCGTTTGAGCCGTGCTCTTGAGTCACGTTGAACAGTAAGATGGGTCCTAAATCGACGGCGGGCGAGCAGTACCTCATCGTCTGCCAGTCGATGATCTTCGCGTCGATCGGTTTCCCGTCTCGGTATTTAAAAAGAAGATTGTCGTGCGAGAAATAACCGTGACATATGGTGGACGCGTCGTTCACTTCCGTGGCGATGGTCCTTGCGATCTCCAACGGGTTCTTGTTCAGTTTGCTCTTTATTTTTTCTGCCAGGTCCCGGTTTGGAAGAAATTCAAGAATGTCTGTCATTCTGCAATCAATATGAAAATGTATTTTGACGAACGTGCAAGTGATTAATTTTTTGCATATCGAGGTAAACAGTTTTAAAATAAAAACTGCTAATTCTAACTGATTTTAAAATTGAAAATATCCCATTGGAAGTTATTCTTTGTCTTGTCCGAACGTGTACGTATATTAGGCTTCGAAAATTGAATAAGAAATTCGAGATTCGAAAAGCAAGAATTCTTATGATATAATAAGACAAGCTGGTAGATTAGCAGAAAGCAAAAATTTGTTTATATAAATCATTTTTTATTATGTAAACCATAATTCTTATATTACTTAATAAACGTTCTATAAACTAATTTGTAATGCGTCATCATTATTGAATTTACTTTTTACATTACAGATTTGTTTGATATTCAATCATAATATTTTTTGTATGTTAATTAATATTTATGATTACTGAGAAATCTTTCTTCTCTATTTGTACTCCAGCCCTTTTAAGTTAAAAACATCTATTCTATATATGTATTTTGGAGGTTGAACGACTTTCAACACTAGTGCAATTAATTTACTGCTCAATTTCTAAGACTCTGTAAGACCGTTCCTAGGTATGTACATACGGTATGTGCATAGCACATAGCACGTTTGAAGAGTATACTGATCTATAGATACAGCTGTGTATAAATGAAGTACAGGGTGAATGAGAACTGAGGAACAGTGCTCGAAAGGAAAGTTTCCGGCGAGAATGTAGCGCGAAGCTTCAGAAAAGATGTTCCGAAAAAGTTTTCCCGATAGATTAGAATTTAGTTGCTCCTGTTCTTCGAACTGAATTTAAAAATCATTATTTGTAGACTACGGATTTTTATACAGGACGTCTGTAATGTCGATAGAAAATATAATGCAAATTGAGATTTATTATATCCCTAAAAAATTATACTTTTGTTCTTCTGNCATTATATGTTTTTAATTACTGAATATAATTTTTTATTCCATGCACATACAATTTCTTTTATAAATATATCGAATTTACAGACCATTGATTATTTTCGATTAAAATGTAGTTTAATAGAAATGTAATAGATTGCTTTAAGATTGTATAAGCCATAAGGTTTCTGCCAAAAGCTTAAGAAGCATGACAAAATATTATGTTTAATATTTGAAGCGATACATATTTTTAGTAAAAATTATATTTACAGGCAAGTTCATAAATTGTTCGACGTGTTTTTCTATGTTAGATGGATTTTTTAACGTACATATATATAATTTCTAATATTCTATTGCATGGTTTTGGCACTTTTTGATAGGACTGTATCTAACTTGCAATTGTCTTACTTTTTATGTAACTTATTTAATAGTCTTGAAGTTAATATTATCTCGGCTTGAAAATGTTCTTAAAATATGCATTAACGATTATGCAAAATTATAAAATTCTGTTACTGTTGCATCTGTGTTTTTAAGAATTCAAGCAAGGACATTTTTAGTAGCCTCGTAAAATGTCTAAAATTTTAAGCAGTGTTTTATTAATGTAAAATCTATTAGCTGTTAAACTTCGAACGCTTTGTCACTGTTTTTTTGTAAGGACTCATACAACCTTAAAAGAATTATTAAATATTGTGTTAACATTTTTGTTTGATACTATGCATTTCGTCAATGTAATATAAAATTGAATACAAAAGTCGTATGCAAATTCGAAAGTGTCTAATGAAATTTCGTGGCAGAGAGAAGCGCGTGTGACGCAACGTAATACGATGCGAAATTGTTATTGAAGTCGATTATAGTATCGCTTCACATGGGATAAACGGCATTGTCAAGCGCCGATTTTCTAACGAACTGGCAATTAATTGATTCGCGTCAATCTGTTGACACTCGAAGCTCAATCTATTTTGAATTCTGCCTGGTTCAATCGCGTACGGATTATAACGCCCGCACGGAAGTTGCTTTACCGTTGCCACTGACATCGATAACGTCAGTATTACCGTTCGACAACGCTAATTGTCACCATTGACGAGGCCTCAACGCTAATTGCGTTATAATTCTCGCAGCTTTTATTACAGTATTTCGGAGTTCATTATATCACGCTTTATCAATCCCTTCGCGATTACAGGAAGTTCAGTGCTGTTCATTCTTACTCAGTTTCATGACCAGCTTGGTGATTTTTATGCACAATAAAACATTTATTGCATCAGTTCAAAAGATGTGTTTTAGATAAACATTTGTTCCTTAATTTCAAACATCCGCAGTCTAGTTATGACTAGAACGTTTGATTTTTCAGATAATGCTATTTCAAGTCGAATAAGACGAACGGATTGTCGGGAAATATCAAACTTCGGAATTGAAATAATTGCAGTTTTCTGAAAAATCAAAACTATAGAAAATGAGAACATACTATAAACAGAAAATTTTCATTATTTCTTTGGATAGGAAGTGTAGAAGTCAAAATGACTTCGGTTCACGTCCTTTTTGCTGAAAGGTTTCAGGAGACCATCGTTACAATACTCAATCTTTGATTTTGTTTTTTCTTAAATTGCAGGATACGTACACCCAATTCATTGTATGTATATTGGCTGCACATACATATACATCACTCGCTATATGAAGCTAATGGCGATGCGCACTTTTCGTCTTTATTGGGAATTGACACAGGGGCGGGATCATAGACATAAAAGAATAGACCGAGTGAAAAATGTTATTTAGTTGACATTGCATAAGAGAGAGATGACATGCTCTGGCAGAAGTTCTGTCTCTCTCGCACATGCCGGTAGTGGGGGCCACGTTTACTATACATATATTGTGTTATACTAGAAGAGGAGAACTTAAATAACTATCACGTTTCCCCTACTTCCCTACTCTTCACTGATAGAGAGAGAAAGCGATACTTCTGAACATGATGGTTCGGATGAACACTGGTGTCTACAAGCATAACGTAAGAGAATTAACACCATTGCCAGTCAAACACGAAGCTTTATCAAATCATTGATAAATCCACCTATCAGGTAATAACTGTCAGTTTACATTACGACATCTTGAGCGACAAGTCACTCAACGGGGGGGAACATGTTCCGTCCGCTCAACGGAAAAAACAGAGTTTATGACCGGTTAGCATTAAAAGGGATTAACTCGTCACCAAATAGCATTTTCCAGTCATACAGGAAAAGGAAACAGAGTTGCCTCGAAGCAAAAGGCATTTCAATACATTTCCAAGAACCGATTGCCAGCCCACGCGAAGGACAAGGCCCATTGTCTCGTCAAGCGTTGGAGATCTGTATACATTTTCTAACGGTTCTCCACCCCTCTTCAGGCCAAGACTTTACAAAGGGAAAAGAGAGAACGGTTATCTCAGGGAGCGGACTGATTGGGCCTCAACGCTTAAAAATCACCAATCAGGGTGTATTTTCCAACTCCGCTGTCCCACTACAGTCTGTTTGAGGGTTGGACGGTTAGTTTCGAAGGAGCATTCGAGCAGTCATCAAGTCGAGTTAGTAAGAAGAGTTCGTGAGAGGAGTTAGTAAGAACAAGAGTGCGTGCAACATACGAAATCTCTGGGCATCGTGCGGCCCTCGGCCACCATTCAGGCTTGTGGAATCACAACGGATTCCCTCAACGACATTTGCCTATCATTCGAGACATAATTCTCAGTTAACTGGACGACATGTGCCGATCGCATTGAGGCCTCATTCCCAGTCAACTGGTTACATTTACCGACCGATTCAAGGCATGATCTTCTGTGCAGCTCGACGTCATTGCCAATCGCATTGAGGCATTTTGACATGAGTTTCCTACTGCCAGCATACGGGCAGATCAAAGATCGTACTAGTGAAATCCATTTTTTACCATCCGTTCGTTAAACTTCTTGATTAATCGTAAGCAAATCAAATGTAAAAATAAACTAGGGTTTTTTATGCCGAATGGCTTTTTCCCTCAAAATCTGTGTTATTTATTTCAAGCCAGAAAAATCGAATTACGTATAACTAACCTGTCTTACCACCTACGGTACGATTGGTTCATAACATTTACAAAATAGTGGGAATCAAATTACCTTTGATTTTCACACGCGGTTCTGAACAACGAACGTTCAAGGTTGTTCGAAACAGGCGTGTTCAAATGCGTCGCTGTCTGCGCCTTCCACTCGTTGGCCATATTGGAAGTATGATGACATATTGTTTAGTCCGAACACATATATATTACACTCCGAGAATTTAATTTTTGATATGTTTACGATTTTAACATTAGCTCTGTTTTAATATGAAACATGATTGGTTAGAAAACCAAAATGGCCGACGAGTGGAAGCGTCCGTAATTAGTTATTCAAATGGATGCGCAAGAACACACCTTATGTTTTTACATCATGCTTCCGAATACTTTCTCTCTTTCTCGCACGTTGTGTCAAGTTTCCCATTTACGCGCTCGGTCTATTCTCTTATGTTTATTGGTGGGATCAATAGATATAGCAAACTATCATGGCGACGCGAAGCCAGGAATTATACTCGTGGTTTCGAGAGTCTAGGACCGGGCACAGTTCAATTTTTGTAGGTAGTTTTTGATGGTTCTGAGCATGGCTTCGTCTGGTTCTACTGCTCGCCACGAGAGATCATGGTAAATGTATCAATTCCCAGTAGGAGTAGATTTTTGGACTGTCAGTTACCTCTTTGGAGAGACGAAAGTTAAATAGCGTGCTCTGGCCTTGATTTCGTTCAAAAACGTTCTTTCTTGTATATATGATTGCTTATAAACAAAAGCATTGGAACTACGACTTTTCATATATTTTGGAAAGCTCATATTGTTAAAGATCAGCATATTGCGATTAAATCATGACCAGAGCTCGCCAGATTTAACTTTCCTCTTTTTAAGTAGGTATCTGACGACCCAAAAATATTCTTATATAAGGACGAAAAGTTTTTGTGTATTTTATTTGTGAGTTGTTTGTGAAGTTGGAAACGGAGGCCTAAGCCGATTTAACCCGTTAGGGACGCAATAAAGGCATTACTAACTATAAGGACGAAAAGTGTAATCCCTTAAACTCATATTTGTGGTTAACTTTCTAGATAATATTGATATTCTGTCTTATTGTGCCATTAACGGGGTCTGCCTTCTTAACTAAATAAAAGAAAGAAAACTAAATTACCTAGTCGATTTCTTTTGATACCGTTGCAGCATGTCTTCATTCAAGCAAACTTCGAGCAGTTTCGCTTCGAACTCCCTAAATACCTGCGGTTCATTTTCCTTCAGTCTCAACCCCCTGGCATGAAACTTAGCCAGGACCTTCACGCACAATTTCAAATGTTCTTCATTGAGTTCTTCGTCCACTTGCTTGTAACCGTCCTCTTCTAAATCCTCTAAAACAATTACTGGCCTTCCATAACGACCCAGATCGGACAGATAACACTTAGGCACCAGGTCCGTTCCATATTTCGCGGTCATTTTTGAATAGAACATCTCTTCATTTTGGTACGAGTCGAACGCAATGGGACCTCTATTTTCCGCGCCTTCCTCGGGTAGCAGTTTTATCAACAGAGGGAAACTACGGGGTTCGCCGGAGAACCTGACCACTGCCGTCACGCGGTAAATCTCGCTGGTTCGACTCAATTCGTCGAGACGGATAATGGCCGAGTCAAACTCGACGAATTCCCTCGAATTTTTCTCGCAGAAACACCGCTCATGCACCATTTCCGGGAGCAGCTCCTGCTCGATGAACTCGATGCTTCGCTTCCATATCTCATGTGATTTCATGATCGTACACGATTGAGACATTGAAGTAAACGCTTGGATCTTTAGATTATACTTATAGATGCGGCTCTGGATAACTGTTTGAAGCAATGATAAAATTATCTATGTAACGTCACACGTAGGCAAATTAATACTGTAGTTCGATCGATGAATTTACAATAGACCGAATGACTCTTGTAATGCGACGAATTTAAATAATGCGTACATTATTCATCGTGGAGAAGAAAGTTCCAAAAGTTGCATCGTTAAGCACATACAGTGTTGTTGCTTTCGCATTTATATCTCGATAAAAAGGCAAATGCTTACCTTTTATACACTTTTATCTACAATGAATGATTTCCGAGTTATTTTAAGTTGTCACATTATAAGAATCAGCCTGTATATATATTTATAGACACGGTTTATGTATAGGGTATGCATAAGATTTTGTGAAGCAAAATACACTGTCCGTGATTTTGAATTATCTTGTGATGTCACATATGGGCGAATTTCTTACGTTATCTTCACTAATATGGATATCGTGTACACAGGCTATAAATATACCATCTAACAATAAGCTTGAAACCAATCACGAATAAGACACTGTCACACTAATTTTGATTTCCCTCCGTGAAAAAAGAAGACTACGTTACAAGCTAGAATCCGTATATTGCTTTACCACGATTATCTGATGAAATTCGAGACGTCTGATAACTTTGTGGAAGGTAGAAGAGCGCGATATCTCTTCATGGATTCACTTATCTCGACGTAGATGATTCACTCTTTTCCGGGACTGGTTACGGTTACGATATTGTCAGACGATTCTTAAAGGTTCTCGTTCCGGAACGACGCGACGTATTCCGCGCGAATATCCGATGTAGACTTCGATCGACGACGAATCGTTTAGACTCTCGGCTATCTAGAAGGTTATGGATATGGGACGCGTGTCAAATGGTTCGCGATAAGGTGTCGTTTATCGGTTAAGCGTAGATCGATCCACGCGTCGCGGCACTCAGTGGAAAGTATAACTGACTGAGCATTTCGAGGGAAATCATTACACTTGTGTCGACGAGGGAAGACGAGATAATGATGCTCTTATCTTCTGATGACGTTATAAACAAGCTTGTTCCGCCACTGAGACGGCCGATGGCTCCGCTGTCAGTTATTGGATCCACGTTTTAACAACATGTTTTGAAAACTTAAGGAGGAATTTTATTCGTTCAAGAGTAAGATTGGCGGTGAAGACGACAGAAATTCGTTCAGTAATAAGCTTTAGCAAAAAGTGAGTGGCCTTTAATTTACGAGGATCTAATACAGTTAAGAGAAAAATGGAACTGTAAGAAAGGGCGATTATTGATTAAATACAAAGGTCAAACAGTGCTAGATTCGAACTCACAAAAATAGAAGAACAGAAGAAGCCGTTGCAGAAGCTCGTCGAAACGTCTTGGAAAAGAATGACCAGTCCTAGAAAACGGTCAAATCTTAGGCTCAAGACATAGCTTTGAGGGGAAGAGCCTAATTTATGACACCCTCAAGTGTTTTGCACGTTGACATAGCTCGTAGCTTTATTTTACGAGTGTTTCTTCCTTTAGTTTTTTCGTTCTCTTATAGACACACACACACTATTTCAAATTGAATAACTTTTTTAAGATCAGACCAAACGGCCTGATTTTTTTGAGTAGTTAGATGGATTAGTTTAATAAATGATGTGTACAGAAAATTTCGAAAAAATTAAAATTGAAAATCATAGGGAACAATTTGAAGGTCGCTCTTATTCAACTTTTTTATCTAGGCTTGTAATGAAAATTTAAACAACACATTTTGGGCAATTAAATGAGTCTCTGTACAGTTTAATGGAATTTGTAAAAACTACGGGTTTCGTTATTCCGTTTCGTTATTCCGGTTCGTTTTTCGAGAGGCAGCAGGGAAACGGAAGAGCTATTATCCAACATACTCCCGCGACGGAGGAACGTGACCGAAACATTTATAAAATCTTGCGCGTTTCTCCTCCCACTGCTAAATTTCCCGCGTGTATGCCAACACTTCGCGCCGTCTGAGATTTTTCTCGGCTGAATGCACGAACATTCCATTCCACGGATAGTGGTCTGCGTTTCGAATTCGCCCGGGGAATACATCGAATATTTTTTCCCCCTTTGGTTTTTCGTTTTATCTTTCTGTTTTTAAACGCACATGGGGAATCCTTTGGGGCGTACGCAAGAATTCGTAAATCAGAACGAGTTCGTGTTTTTTTGTCCAACTGCGAATTTTTCTATTGTTTTAAATCTCCAAAGTTTATTACTAAAAATGTTTAGCTTTTACAATTTTATAATTTGTAAGTATTGTGAACGTTTGTACGAAACTTTTATGATAGCAGTATAAATATTTTAGGTCGGAGTTCACTTCATTATTATTGTTGAAATATGCAATCGATTTTTAATATTTTCTATATTTTTATGGTACATAGAATAGTTTGTGCACGTTCAAATCTATCATACATGTAAAAGAGCTTCCTGACTGGCTTACTCATAGAGCTCAGCAAAAAGTATCGCACGAAAGTGAAGTTGAAATTTTGAGGGTAGTTTCCTACCATGTTGTAAGTCATTATGAAAGGATTTTTTATTGCAATATCTCCTAATTCTGATATCAAACTGCTTCTAGTAATAAAATGTCACTTTGCGAAAGTGCTAATAACTATTTTCTGGATTTTTCGAAATTTTATCACTGAGGATGAAAATGGGATAAAATGTGTTTTACTTTCTACTGGAATAACTCTTCAACCTGACCAGATATCAAAATAGTTCCGATGCCAAAATGTCATCTTATAAAAGGACTAAAAACTAATTTTGGGATTTTTTAAAATGTCACTCTTCAGGTACTAAAAGGGTATAATGTATTTTTACAAATATCTTTATTTCTGTTATACAATATGAGATATCGACTTGGTGTTTCATAAAAGTCTTTTATACAAATGCTTTAAAATGAATTTCTGGATTTTTCGGAATTCCACTCTTAATGGTATGAAGTAGAGTGAAATGTATTTTTATGAATTTCCTTGTTTTTCTTATCTCACAAGGACAGTGATACGTAGTTTGCATCAGAATAGTCCAGCAAGCAGCTTAACAATCTTAGCACTTATACAGGAAGAACTACAAATGTTGTTTACAAAGAGATACCTCAATAAAAATGAATTCTATCATTTTTCAGTAAAATAAAAGTGTTGTAGGCGAAGCTGCGACAGAGACTGCGACTAAAGACATATAAGTGAAAATCTTTATAATATGAATAGTTTTGTAACATGAAGAGAGAGCATTTATAAATGCTTTCCATTCTCAAAGGGCCTAAAGTACTAAAGAACAATTTTAGATCTTTGAAAATAAAAGAAAATTTGGTATAAGACATTTGTGAAAAATGAAATGTAGTACGATTAAATCATAAAAGATTGGCTTGTTATTAGAGTCCCTTGTCTGTGGCAATTGGCGTTTCTACCGGCGCTATTTTTGCTAAATAATCATTTGCTGTGTGTAAGTATCTTTGAACAACGTCGACGATGCGATAAGATCGCGTTTTACGGAATTTACGCTGTTCGTGTCGTATATCGGTTGCGATCCGGTTAACGAGAGCTCTTCAGAACTAAGCATCGCATGTCTAATCAGACAAGGACCATGGACAGTGGTTTATGCCTCTCCCCATGCATCCGCGTGGATTTTCGTTTAATAAGCCCATCTGTATGCGAAGGGATATTATCTTAGGTAGCGCTACCGTCGCTAGGACGTCGCATTGCTGTGCAACCTTTTTTTTTTTTATCTGGCCATACGCGCGCGCAGGGTGGCTGGTTAATCGTCGCGATGCTTTTACTTGCTCCATATTTTCTCCTTCGCTTAATCCTCTTTCGACCCCGCTGGTAAACACGCGCTGCGCATTTTACCAGGAAAATGCGTTTCGTAACGATATAATATAGCAGAATTTTTATTACGAGATGACAAAGTTGGGTGCCCGGAAAATGATACGTGTACCCTGCAGCGTTAACAAGTTTAAGAACGCTTAATTTTTAATGGGAAAAATATGCTCCTCTAGAGTACTACTCGGAAGACGGAAGTTAAATTTAATATAAACGTTGAAAAACAGGATACGATAAATTACTTTATTTTACAACTTTGTCACTGATTGTTGTATACCGACGTTATTTAGTATTTAAATTAGTATAGATAGTCTATCTTCTAGTCTCTACGCCGAAATTTCACCATCCCATGACTTCATTTCTTGAGTCATATTTACAAATTTTGTTTTATATTCGAACTCTGTCTTATTGTTAGCTTCATCATTTTTGAACCGTTGAAACTCTGAACGAGAAGGCCGTATTTTTCAACTCTTTTATCCAGGCTTGTAATGAAAATTTAAACAATATATTTCGACTACTTATACGAGATTAGTATATGCTGAAAATTTTCAATTTTAAATAGCGTGTATTCAGTCTTGCTCTTAACTGTATATTTTATTCCGTTTTCACTCAATTTGTGCATTCTGTTCTCGAACTTCGTCACAACACCTCTCTTCACACTCTTTCAAAATAAAACTATAGTTTACTGTCAAAAGATTTGTCTGTCTTCGTGTTACCGCGTAAGTTATATTATTCTTAATAAAAAATAAGTTAGCGGAATACAACTGACATATTAATTGCAATAAATGCAACAGGTGCCATAAAAATGCAGAAACTGCAAATAAGCTTTCCGATGGAATTAATAAGAAGGCGACCGCGTCTCAACCGTATCACGCGTTTTACGTGACCACGGTTACTCCTAATCCTGTGCAATTAATCTCCTCTTTAGCCAAGACTCTTTTCCCGTATCCTCTTATCTTAGATTACTCGCGGGTATATTTTTTCCTGCTCCTCTATACTCGCTGGAATATTGCGCGTCTACATTATCTCCGCCTCCGCGCGGACCACAAACGCAAGAAAGGAGAACGATTTCTTATCCTCTCCTTCAGCGTGACAAGACGTCACGGCACTTCTTAAAACGACCACTATCATTGGTGAACGTCTTCTAGCGGTCTCTGCTAATGCTAATTCACCAACAATCGTTTCTTAACGTACTCCTTGAAAATGTGAAACTAGAACATACTCTAGCTATATAGTTCCGAAGGAATTTTTGCAACAAAATTCATTTTTAGAAGGATAGTAAATGTAAGATAACAAATTTGGAATGATCGGTCGATGTGAATATGTGTATGAGTGTGTTGAATGAAAAGTCCAAAATGCTCATATCGGTGTGTGATCGATAATGTAGAGTGCAAATTGGAATTTAGAAAGTTTGATAGTATGGCTGTCGGTGTGAATGCAACATGAATATGTAACGAAAAGTGTAAGAGAGATTCTAGAAGAATCCGTGCACGATAATATTATTGAATTCGGGATTTAGCTGGAAATAAGCTTCGCTGGTTAACAATATAACTTTATATTTCCAAATACGGAATTATATACAACAGTGAGGAATTTAAAAGAGCAGAAGTTTCTACGAAGTCCAGACAGTATTTCGATAAATCACGGGATTTTTTTAGGTTTAGGGGAAAATGTGACTCCGATCCCTATGACTACGCCTGGCTTTTGGACCTACTATACCAGTGACTAACAATAAGTTATATTCGACTTCTGCGAAAGTAATTTCTTAAAGCTAGAAATAACATAAAATAGCAAATATTATACTAACAATAAGTAGTTGATCATCCAACAATATAAAGGCCCTTGCAAAAAGAAACACAAATCAGTCGTCCTGCGATTCTGAAATTTTGTGCGTGATTAAGATTAGGTCTCTATTAATTGTCTATCAATAAAAATGTAACCTTCTACTTCTACACAAATTGTATTCTATTCAAAAAGCGTGGGACACCCTGTATTTCGAAGAGTCGAGTAACGTTCAGTTTAGAAAAAACAGCGTTTCATAGTTGAATACACGTAATGAAACGTAAGATGAATACTCTTTATAAGTGTTTAAATTTTGAAGTTATCAACTCTTCAAGTATCTCAACTA